GATAATGACTTGGAATGGGTTGGTGGCAAGAAAGTTTAGAGGTGTGAATAGACTCAAGAACTTGGCTTTGGTATGGGGTGGGAGCAGGGAGAGAAATATCCAGGATGACAAGTGGATGACTCAGTTTTGCATACATTGAGCATAAGGGAGTTTGGGGAAAAGTTACAATATGTTATCAATTACAGGTTTAATATCAGATATCCCTTATCTGAAATGCTTGGCACCAGAAGTATTCTAAATGTGGGACTTTTTTCAGATTTTAGAATGCTTACATGTATCTAATGAGTATATCTTGGATATAGAAGCCAAGCCTTTTTGTTTCATACATACCAAATATAATTTCATACAATATTTTTAATAATTTCATACATGAAACAAATTTCATGGGATATGATTTTCCAGTTGTAGTAATCACAGCAGTACTCAAAAAAATTTAGATTCTAGACCATCTCTGATTCTGGATTTTGCAATTAGAGACGTTCATCCTATACTGTTGTTTAGTGAACTGAATTGAGACGTCTTCCATCCTCCACCAGAAGCTCCTCATTCTTATAGTGTGAGCCATGCCACAAAATTGAAATCTTATTCTTCTATATCAAAAAGAGGAGTGCTTTTTAAAAAAATCAATGTGAATATTCCATTGCAAGCAGTATTCCTCATATCAGAGATAAATGCAATCTGTGTAAACTGGCTACCTTTAAATCATTACAGTGACTTCACAGTGCAAAGGCTGACACCCACTTAATTTTTTTTCTCAGTATTTTACTACAGTGACTTACTCATATCTGGTTCCTCTCACTGACCAACTTCTAACTAAGACAAACATGAGAATATAATCACCAACAGAAACCCCATAACTTCATGCTTTAATACCCTGACAACCACTAAAATATCCAATGGTGCTGAAATCTTTAGGGATCTCAGCTAATGCTTGAGCAAAAAGGAAGGCTTTCAAAATAGTAGGTCTCCTTGTTTCCACAAAAGGAGACAAATTTCTAGTTCTGGGGTTTCTAGAACTATTCCTTTAGCACAGTAGTTACCACTTGGAGTCACCACTCATAGAAACTCAAGTTTTGGTCATACAAATAGCTCTGTTGCAGAAATTAAGAGATTGAAGAACAGATTTTATTCAAGAATATCCATCAGGATCACATTATATTTGACTATAATGGACCTGGGCACTTATTCTTTTTCTCTCTGTGTTACTGTCACCTTAGTAACGTTCCTCAAGTGTGATGGTTAATCTTTTCAACTTGACTGGACTGAAAGTCACCTAGGAGATTAGTAAGCACTTCTCTGGGTATCTCTATGAGAACATTTCCAGAGATGATTAGATCATAAGAGCTCTACCTAAACGATGGTTTAATCCATTAATAGATCCAAATTTTGAACAGACTATAAAGAGGTGGTAGAACTGTGGAAGATGGGGCCTAGTTGGAGGAAGTAAATCACTGAGGCAGTGCCTTTGAAGAGTGTATCTTAGCCTGACCACTTCCTGTTACTGTTCTTTTTGCTTCCTGGCTGCCATAAGGTGAACCTCTCTGTTCCACCACACCTTTCAGCCATGATGTTCTGCCTTACTACAGGCCCAGAAACATGGAGCCAGCCAACCATGGACTGAAATCCCTGAAACCACATGCCAAAATAAACATTTCCCTCTCTAAGTTGTTTATGCCAGGTATTTTGTCACAGAAACCAAACTAATACACTTGTTAGTATACAACAAGTGTATTAGTTAGTATATAACAAACAAGTACAACTTGTTTGTTAGCTTATTTTCTCCATAGGACTAGCAGCACTCAAGCAGAAGCCAGTCTTGAAAGAGGATTTCTATCTCCAGATTCTCCAAATTTATACGTAACTTTGCTGACTCCACATCAAGACACCTGGTTGTAAAAATCATACAATTGACTTCATTTTAAAATGTAATGCTCAAGTTGTTGAATGATTAGCTATCAATAGGAAGAGCCAATTAAATTCCATGCAGAAAATTAAAGCTTAATAAATAAGAATGAAGGAAAATAGCATAGTCTGTTGGAAAGGAAACTATCCCTCAAATAGGAGATTGGCATTAGCATTGTCAACTTTGTTTTGCCACCAGTGTGCTGTGACACTAGACTGCTCTATGCTTCAGTTATAATGCATCCCTACATTCTTTTCCATAAGCAAAAACAATTGCATAGAGCACTATTCAATCTTTTCAAATAGAAGATTTTGAATTTTTGTAAAATTATGCCTAATTCATCTAAATGTTTTTCCTTCAAATTTTATCAACAGTTAGTCTTAAGAGAAATAGAAATAATAGCAAGGACAGGAAGAATAAAACATCCTTAACCTTGTCAAAGGAGAGCGTTGATCCAGCCTGCACCAGTAGCAGCACAAAATTGTCATAGGGCTACTGCTGACATGAAGGTATTCACATGTTTGAAGCAATGTTGTTATATGGACACTTGGGTAAGTCAGTTATTATAGGGATTTTAGGTATGGTGCCAATATTCCCCGCACCAAGAGAGAATCACTACGAAACCAATGTGCCACTGAAGATGCCATTAGCAAGGTCACTATTTCCTCTAAGACACTGAGCAGTTCAGCACAGTTGGTCTCTTTATTTTTTGAATGATACTGTTCAGAATTACAGAAACTCTTATTTCTTAAGGGAAGAAAGAATGTTGCTTATATATCGTTTGTCAGCATCAGGAAACCAAGCAACATAATTTTTTAATAAGAATTTGGATTAAGTTCAGTGTGTAGTTCAAAAATATACCCAAATTAAATTATAATAGAAAATTTTATTAACTATTTAATAGAAAATTTAGTTCAGTAAATTGACTTTTCTCTACCCCATCCTGCTACCACATGTATCCAATAACTCAGATTCATTTTTCCCAATAAAAGAGAGTCACAGAAATAGTTGTGATATGCTTTAAAAGTTCAGTTTCTGTGAAAGCAATTGCTGAAGCAAATTGTCAATAAAAAGGCTTCACATTGATAAATTTTTAGTAGCAGTGTCATACCTGTCACAATGCACACCTAAGCAATGCATCCAGGGTCCCTGTGCCTGCATCTGCCCAGTGGGCCTCGTGTGCTATTGCAGTGCAGGTTACCACCCTGAAGATTGTTTCCTGAAGACACACCACATACATATAAGGTGTGTCTGTGCTTCAAGACAGAAGCTGACAGTGACCCTGCCTAGCTGAGCCACAGGGCCACCAAGTAATCTCAGGTACAAAGCCCTATGATACATCCTAGGGACACAACAGTGAACACAATTTTCACCTTGCCTGCTCTCAGGAACTGGCAACAACTCTGTCAATCTTTTCTACCTCCACCATGATACAAACTCCTGCTTAGCTAGAGCTTAACAACTCAAAGAAAGAAAAGACAAGCAGAGAAGCCACCTCAAAAATCAGCACAATCAAGTGAGGGTCTTTGTATGACAAATTTCATTTATCTAAATGTGAGCCAACCGGTACTCAGAGTGGAAGAAAACTGCCAAGGTTACATAGAGGGTTAGTGACCATTAAATGTGAGAGCCTACATATTTCTTACTGCCATAAAACTTGTGCCTTTTAAGGGCCATGAGGCAGTTGTAACATTCTGAATAAGAATTGATACTGCTGCTAATCACAGCTTTTTTTGGAAGAAATTCACTTCATATGAAGGGTTTCCATTTCTCCCTGACCTATAAAAAAGATAAGGATGTTCTAGACAGATTACCTCACCTAATCCTTGCAAAGAGATACCATTTAATCATATTTTGAATAATCATCAGAAAGGCAGTATTTCCATTCCCTGATAAACTTTTCTGCTAGATATCCATGTGCCAGGACATGGGGGGATGGAAACTGATGAGGACAATAGCAAGTAGCATGTATTGAGAGCTTACTATTTTCTACATACACTATCTCCTTTAATTCTCACTCTGTTGTATCTTCTGTATCATGCAGAATAAGAATAGAAAACTGAGTGCCTGAAAGGTTGAAAGACTTAGCCAAGGTCTGAAACTGGGAAGAAATAGTGATAAGAGCCTGATACAAACCATCTTGCTCAGAGTCTCTGCTTCTAATCACCATACTCACTTTTAAACTCAAGATATTTCAGCAATGTCAGTTACCAACCTAATTTAGTATGCAAAGTGTCAGCTGCTCCCCTGAGAAGGGAATATGATATAATATCAGAGCTAGAGTGACTTCCTGAATGGAAGAATCACAAATTCAATAGGCTTCTATAGTGACAGCCGGTTAGTGGACAGAGCGAGCGCAGGCTCTACATTTTGATCACCGTCAACTTTGGTAGGGGGAGGCCGAAGAAGGAGACTCATAAACCATCCAATACTTTAGGGAAGTTTTACTCTGTTACCAGGTACCTGAAAATAGGACTGCCTGGGGATAGGAGTTGAAGTCAACCCATGAACTTTCTGTACATACAGCCAAGGTTTCCCAGACTGACCTATATGGGAAGGAAGACCAGAAATTGAATGAGAAGCACAAAATCCACTCAGCACACCAATGTGAGAGGGCTGCTGTTTCAGATGAGGAGAGAGAGAGAAAGACAGACACAGAGAGAGAGAGAAAGATTGCAAACTTCAAATAGGCCCTTGGGGCGGTTTATTGCTACTATCCAGACCTAAGTTTTTATCACCTATAAAACTAAGATAAGAAAACTGATGAGGCTATCATGAAGGATAAATGAAGTTACTATAATGATCTCTTCAAATGTCAAGGCCTATGTGAATGCTTACTAATAATTTCATTGGAATAATTTTGCCACCATTATAATCATAAATATACAGCTACACTTTTAGGACAGAATTTTGAATACAGATGAAATATTGCCTCTGGAACTAGTTTATTTGCACACATGGTGTTGCTTTGGTTATTTATGGAGCTACAAGTTCTCTTTGTTCCAGGAAAATTGGTATAATCCATGTTCTGGCCTGGGGCCAAATGTGCAATACTCTGTTCAACTCCCCCTTTCTCCCCCTTCATCCAGGCCTTTACCTTGCTGTTTTTGCATGGTGGTGAAATCCTCAAAGGTGAGTGTGCGCACTGGAGGTCTCCAGAATGCATAAGTCTCCATAATGGCTTCGAGTCCAGTTCTGGAGAGAGAAAACAACGTTGTGAATAATACTAAGAAATGCATTGACTTTTAGAGATCCAGAAGTAGTTTGTCTGACAAGTGGTATATTACAGGCACTGAGAGATATCACCACCATATAAATTAGTCTGAAAAAGCACAAGGTATAGACGCCACTGCATTACATGAAGAACAAAGTAACCTAATTCAGATTTTTTACACTGAACTTTTTTGTACTCTGAACTTACTTCAAAAGTTTGATGTGCATGACAAAAACATATTAAGTGTTAAAGGTCAAGACCACTAATATCATGAGTACACCTGAGTAGAGAGTAGCATTGACTGCTTCTCTAGTGTAGGACAATGCTATCATTATTACCACACCATTGCTGACACATCCTGTCCCAGAGTCAACTCCACACCCAGAGTCAATGAGGTGTCAACAAAACTGTCAAACTGGTGTCATTTCCAAAGTTTATTAAATCAACAGAGAGATGAGCGGACCAACAGAAAGAGAAGGAGAGTTAGCCATCAAATACACTCAAGTTTTTATTGCAGCGCAAAACACCTACTGAAGGCAAAGAAAGTACTTGGTCCCAGACATTATCTCCAAAGCAAAAAGAGGAATATACCTTTCTCCAAAAATTCATTTGTAGTTTTACAACCTAATAATCAAGCAGGTTTTTTGACAGTCACAATCTGTCAGACTTCAGAAAATATCCAGAATTTTACCACTACATTCCTGCACAGCTTCTGGTTCACTGGTGTTGGATATTCCATAAATTGGGCAGTGTATATTCTGTCTTCTCTCCCCTTGAATTAATTGTGTCTCTGTCATCTATATGAGATGTTGGTGTACATTGTTTTAAGATAATAATATATTCTGGCTGATATTCCATATCCTTAAGATGAAATGTTGGTTGGGGGTTTATTTAATGCTTTGAACGCAGCTTCTACTAACTTTACTCTAAAGTTAACTGTTTCTCGCTTCTATCTAGGGGAGAGAAGGGAAACTCAGGAGCCGTGGGTACGGTAGAAGAAGGAAATTTGGGAAGAGCAAAATCAATGGAAGGGACCTGCTTTCCCTTCCTGAAACAGAGAGGCTTTCCTGATTGAGAAGAAAATTTCACTGCCTCTTTCTCCCTAGACTTACAGTGTTCTCTTCAGTCTTTCATACCAAGAATAAAGCGAGAACAAATAGCCTTTCCTTTGAACTGACTATAGGATCCCCTGAGGTTTTTCTCAGATGAGCCATTGATACATTGATTGGCCCTTTGTTTTGGAAATTTTCCTCTCTAAACTGGCCTTACTTGCACAGTTAACTTTCTAAAGTCTTCCCCGGAATATTGGAGGCTTTAAATATACCCATGTTGGCAAACCAAACTCTGTATTTTAAGAAGAGGTTCACAGGAGAGAGTGTTTCATGGTGTTTATTAGCTGTTAATCTGTTAGAAGTAGGAATAGAAGACATCTCCACATAGTCACTCTACATTAATGCTAAGTACAGTACATGAAACTATTTGTAGGGAGAAAGAGCCCAGGCAATTAGAGAGTTCAGAATAATAAGGGGACAGGCAGATAAAGCCAGGCTGAGCCTTGGTGGATAGAAAGAATAGATAAGCCTGGCTTAGATCTTACTGCTTTGTTTTGGAATGTTGGCAACCCACCAGGACATCTTAGGATTGCCTTTAATGGCACAGGAGGCTCACTGCAAATGGCAGGGTTTTTATTGTTCCACTTCTATTCCATTCTTCCCAGGAACATGTACCCATGATGAAGATGAAATCCTAGCTCAAGGACAAAAAACAACCCCTCTCATTTCATTAATAAAGTGCTAGAAGACTGTAATGTTGCAATAATGCACTAATATACTGCCAATATTATTTATGAAACAAATAGAAAATGAACTTTGGTCTCAGTTTATTAATAGACAAAAAGGTTGTAGCAAAGGTATGAATGACTATTTAAACAGCCAACCATATGCTATAAAATAGTGACCATGTATCATATAACTTTAATCTGAAATCCAACTTAAAAAACAGTAATATTGCTGGGTACCAGTGACTCATTCTTGTAATCCTAGCTACTTAGGAGGCAGAGATTAGAAGGATCTCAGTTCGAAGCCAGCCAAGGCAAATAGTTCATAAGACCTTACCTCAGAAATACCCAACACAAAACAGAGCTGGCAGAGTGGCTCAAGGGGTAGAATGCCAACCTAGCAAGCATGAGGCCCTGAGTTCAAACACCAGTACTGCCAAAAAATAAATAAACAGCTATAGAATCATAGATTTAAAATTTGGGAAGGATCTTGAGTGTTATATACTATACTTCTACTATACTTCTTCAGTTTTTGTTAGATCTGCTAGAAAGTTCTCTCTGACATTTTGCTGAAATCTCTGATGTGACTTTCTCCCTCTGGTTCCATTACAAGTGGGTAAATGATGACAAGGCCAGACATTTCCCACAAGGAGTATGCCTGCCAAGTCCTCCTCAGGGAGACCTTCTTTAGCTTAAGAAAGGAATATACAACATGTCACACATGAACACATCCATGGTTCCTTCAGGGTTCTGTCATAGCAAGGATTACTTTGGTGGCAGAATTGGGAAGATGCAAGTTCTGACTTCTCCAAAATAAGGGCTAAGCCATAGCATTACAAACCATACCTTATCTTTCATTAAACTGTAAATCCATCTCTCATATATTTGTACTATATAGGACATAACATAAATTATTCTATAATATGAATTATCCTATGCCATATTATATAAATCTCACAGATTTATATTACTCAATCTATTTGTTGATTCAGAGTGTATCTCTTTTAGAAAACTAATCCTATGTGTTTTCTCTATGCCATATCTTTTCTTTTTCCTCAAATTCTCTTAAGCTTCATTGGATAGATCTAATTATTAGAAAAGACTAGTTAATTGTATATATCAGATTTTGTAGTAATATGGCAAAAGTAGATGTACTCTCCACAACTAGCATGTATGTATGCACTCCCAAAGTCTTTGGATCCCTTGGTTTTCTCTCCCCTGCTGCCTAGCACAGTGCCTACCATGTGGCAGTATTTCAATTGATATGCATTAAAACAGTAAGTGAAGAAATAAAAGTTTCATTACTGAGTTGTTATTTCATAAACTTTAACTGGCATCCATCTTTTTCTAAACCTCAAACTTAGGAAAACAATTTGGTGTGAAATAAACTCTCTGACGATAGAAGAAATCCTCTAGTACTAGAGATTTGTAAATTTGTTTCTAAAGCTAACTGTGACTGTGACATTACCTAGGTCTCAGAAAGGTGTCAACTTTCCTTTCCTTTCTTCTGTTCCAGCCATGGAATTTCTGACCTGCAATAGAATCTGAGTCCCCTAGCAGAATTCAGTCATTTCTATCCTCCACCCTCTTACAAGAGTCCTTGCCAACTAGCTATGACATTTTAAGCCACTGAGTGCCTATTCAAAGTTTATGCTATGCTACACATTCCTTAGTATCTGTCACTTTACCCTAGTTTTATAAAATTTTATCTCCAAGTTTTAAAAAATGAATTGTCTAATGGATGAAAATAAAGCTGTCTTAATGTGTCATTAATGTGCTCCACATGGTGGGCCTCTTAGGTCTGGTACACACCAAAGATCTAATATCATCTCTGAGGCTTCCGATCAGAAACCATCACACTGGCAAGTGTCACCCTCTTGCTGATTTTTCCTGTCAACTGCAGTGACAACAGAGGTTGTGTCCAAACCCCCTTTGTTCAACCCTTTGGCTGTAACCACCTCTCTGATTTCCAGGACTCCTTGCATTAGATTTTCCAGCCTGCTCACTGGCCAAACCAACAGAATGTGCTGAAAAGGAAGTGAAAGAGGACAGAGGCAGAGCAAGCCAATGAGCTCTTCCAGAAATTGATGGTGCCTCAAGACCCACTGAATTGTAAAAATAACCAGATTATGAAGAAATATCTTTACAACTCCACCCTCCCCTGGAAGGGGAAAAGTGGCAGGATCATTCCTTTACAGATCAGTGAATATTTGACAATTGCAACAATTATAAAAACAACCATAATCTTTTAGATAGCAAATCAATGCATAGTTTTTGCTTTTCATTTGTCTTGAGACAGGGAGTTTCTATTAATAAGCTTTTTTTCCATTTATTCTGTTTAGTTCTGACTTTCTTACTAGAGTTTGACTCTTCCCCACATTAGTTGCTGGTGATCCTGGTGACAAAGGGAACATATGCAATGGGTAATATGGCCATTGGTCATCTCTCAATAGAAGACATAGCCTAATGTAACAGGGGTTTTGAAGTCATAACGGAGTTATCCAATCAAGGAAAAAATATGTGCTAAATTCAGGAGCTATAAAAACAAAACAGACACAGTGTCATTGCTCTTTAGAAGTGTCCTGCCCAATAAAAAGAGAGCATGTAAATGACTAATTTCTGAACTATGTGATATACCAGACAAAAGTAAAAGATGTCATGGAGCATTGAGCAAGAAGTACTTTACATACCTAGGAAATTCAAGCAAAATTCCATGAAAGGGAAATTATTTAAACTTAATATTAATGGGTGCTCAGAAATCTTCCACTCAGACAAAAGACAGAAAAGGCTTTTGTAGTAGAGTTAACTCTATAAACAGACTGAAAGGTATGGAAGGGAAAGCAAATTCTGGGAATGAAAAATAGGTCCAGGTGGCTGGAGGTCAGGGTGTAAGATGGAGGGGAGGAGTTAGACACAATGGACAGCTACTCCATGTGAGGCACTTAGATTTTTATCCTATAAGTGGTTCTGTGCCTCTCATCTCTTTTTCTTTCCCATCCTGTTCTAGTATTTGAAAAGACACAGAGCCAGAATACACTATTGTTTTAATTGTCATATATCTCAAAATCCTTGGATGGTACTTGCTCCATTAATGTAAGGCCAAAACTTCCACACTTCTTCCTCCTTCACTGAATCTGGAATCAGCTCCTGAATGTGGAATGTAGATTCTTCAAGATATCTGCTGTCCAAGGATATTCTAAAATA